TAGTAAACTTTTGCATTTACATAACTAAATGACCCAGTGTTAAATAAATATATCTATCAATGACATCAGTTGTTCTAGGGTCAGTACAAGTTATGCTAAGTTAATTGTATTTGTGGCATGATGTTATTATGAACCAAACAATTCCCTTTTCTTTAAATAAGCAAAAATCTGGGTAACAGATAATCTGTTTAAGGCACTTAAAGAGGAAGTGAATGCGACCAATAATCGCGTCACAAAACAAAAACAAATTCACTGACCTATAATGCTGTCTGAATCACAATCATTCACTGTTCGTTCATTGGCCCCGACTGAGCCTGGGTTCTCCCAAGGTTTTTTTTCCCCCATTCTGCCACCTGATAAAGTTTTGGTTTCTTGCCACTGTCGTCTTTTTCCACCTTTGTTCCCATTGGCTTGGCTTGATTAGTTGGGGTCATTAAATTGAACATTTCATTTAATATTCAACAATAATATTGATCTGCCAGCATTGACACTATTATACAAGAACTGAACTGAGCGGTTTACTCCAGAGCAGCTATATATAAATTAACTAAATTAATGACTTTTTTAAAACAAAAATGAAACATAACTGAATTTTCCTACGTTGGACTGTGACGATATTTTCTTCTGGAAACAAACTTTTTTGCATTATTGTCCTGTTATCTCTGTAAAGCTGCTTTGAGACAATCTGTATTGTAAAAAGCACTATATACATAATATATAATCCTTTTCTATTACAACTTTTTTGACATGACTACATTACTGTGAAAAAAACTGGAAAAATTATTTAAACCTCAGATAATACACAGATTTTATAAAAGTACTAAACATTTTACATTTCTGCTTTAAAGTCCTCCAAAAATTGGCCTCGTTCACTTTCATTGTAACACTTTATTATTTTTTTTAAAGCCCATATGTCGAAATAATATTTTTGTGATGATCAACACTACACCTCTATGAACATGTACGTGTGTTGAAATGTTTTTTTTCTCTCACCTATTCTTTAGCACTGGTATGATCATTACCTTCAGTGGAACCAATCTGAATACCCAGGTGTCAAAAACCTTCGCTTTACCACAGACCAAGTCTGGACGCCGGACATCCTACTGTATAATAGGTATATAAGCATTTATATTTATGAAACCAGACTGTTTTTTTAGTGTTATTGCATTGATGTAAGGTTTTGCTTTTCCTCTAGGGATCTTAAATTTACAGGATATATTTTCATCTTTGTCTTGTATAATACTTCTCATTTATAAGTCGGTTTGAGGAAAAAAGTGTGTTTTTTTTTTAAATGAAAACAAGTATATGGTGCGTACCTCAACGAGATATGAAGTAATAGATCTGAAACCCAGTATTTACAGTGATCATGCAAGTCACTTCAGAATAAGAATAAAAAATCCTTCTGTGAAATGATATACATTGAACTGCAACATCATAAATGGCAACCCGGTGCTTGGGTAAAGAATCCTTGGGAATCAGAATAAATCCAATCATCGCCTCAAGCTAATTTTTGAAAGGCACATTATTCATTCATACCTAGTTATAACCTTACGAACCGCAGGAATCTTTTCAGTTAATCAAAGCCCTAAATCTGATGACTACCTACATTTGCATCAAGATTTTGTCCTTACTGTGTCTGACTGTTAATTGTGTCTTTGTCTTAATTGATGTCCTCATTCTCTCCCAATAATTTCCTCTCCGTCCTTTCCATATCAATGTAACATAAAAATGCAAAATAGTAAATGTCTAAAATATTTCTCTTCTCTTCATTTTCAGTGCAGATGACAAGTTTGACTCCACCTTCAAGTCGAATATTGTAGTGAACTCCAGCGGCTACTGCAACTGGTTGCCTCCAGGTCAGTGTGAACGCTTATGCTTAAGGTTTATGTCGCATTTAATGCTAAAAGCAATAGTAAGCTGCGGTTCATAACACAAAAACACCGGTGGCATTCAAAGTAAAGCGTTAGGCTATAAAATGATTTTTCCATGGAAATGAACATAGAAAGGAAGTGGGAAAAGGTCATGTTGTTTATGGGAAGTTAAAGCACACATGAATATTGTCGGTAGAAGTGCAGTTATGCAGACGAAAAGACGTATGGAAATCAAAGAAACCTCTTTCATGTTCCATTGTAAATGATGGTTCATGGGTCATAAATTTATAGATTTGCACATCAGAAACAGGGACGTTTATGGTGCAAAAGGAAATAGGGAGTTCATGAATTATGTTACAGCTACTTTATTTCCTCTGAGGGCAGTTTTTTATGCATCACAAATGCATATTACGTTTATTTTTGGAAAACTGAATGAGAACGGAAAATCTCCCTTTGATGAAAATATATGCATTGTGTGTGTAAACACAGGCTGAAGCAATGACATGGTTTCTACTGCTCGTGTCTGTGAAGAAAAACATCTCCTTTTCTCTCTCTTGCACGCACATGCAGAATCATACACAACAACTCGCTCAGCAATGAAGCTGGAGTCTTTAAATAACCCTCAGACTCGCTGCAGATGTAAACAAACACATTCGCTCTCTCAAGCAAAATTGTGCCCCAATGGCTCGTATTTGCTGCTCATGCTGATTTCATCGCAATTTAGCGCTGCCTTTCTCTTCCGTGCATTAAAGCAATCCAGTCCCTCAGTAGCAAACAGAAATCAAATGCCTTTTTGAAGTCAAATCAAGCAGAGGAAATGAGTAGGGAGGAAAAGACAGACATAAATAGAGAGAGAGAGAGAAAGTCTCGCATGTTGTTTTCAGAAATATGTTTATTCTCTGTTGGTTTGGGGGTGTGAACAGATTTTGGTAATCCAGTGATCTCGGCCGATGCCAAAGAACACACACGGAGACGGAGTCTGATGCGAAATAAAGCTTTGTTTATTTGCTGCAACTGTTTGTCCAGGTTGACTGTGTCGGTCGGTGATGTTATACACATGGATGCTGACAATGAAAGGTGTTACAGCATTACAGTATAGTGAACTCATTGCCATGTTTTAGAAAACAGTGACATAGCATGTTATCCTGCTGAAAGTAGCCACGAGAAGGTGGATACACTGTGGTGTGGTCATAAAGGGATGGACAAGGTCTGCAATAATACTCAGGCAGGCTGCGCCGTTTAAATGATGCTCAATTGGTACTAAGGTGACCATTACACCACCAGCAGCCTAAAGCGTTGATAAAAGGCTGGATGGATCCATGCTTTCATGTTGTTTATGCCAAATTCTGACCCTAGTGAATGTACAGAAGAAATCAAAACTCATCAGACCAGGCAAGGTTTTTCCAATCTTTTATTAATTCTGGTGAGCCCTAGTGAATTGTGGCCTCAGTTACTTGTTCTTAGCTGACAGGAGTGGCGCCTGGTTTGTCTTCTGCTGCTGTTGCCCGTCTGCTTAACCCATTAGCTGTCACCCCTCTTTTTGAGAATGGGGGTTAAAATGCACTATTCAAACTTAAATGGTTGTAATTTAAGAATGGTCTTGTTTTAAAAAAAAAAAAAACACTCAGCAGAATATTGCTGAAGTGAAAACACTTCAAATGAAAGTATGAAAAAGTTATGGAAGTTTAAATTGACAGTAAATCAAATATACTGTACTATATATTTTTTATTTTATATAAAATATATATTTTACAAAATATTTTTTACGCTAAAATTTCTATAAAATCAAACCCATAAATTATATCAAGTTATGTTCCAAATTTGAAGTTGATGTCTCAAAAATTGAAGTTCCCATGAGATTTTGTTTAGGCGTAGTACCAAAAATAGCCACCGGGTACCATTGAATTCCATTGAATTTAGTTGTATACATTCTGCCTTAACAAATTAATACATTTCTGTCCAAATATCAATTTTGTCACAAAATGTGGAACCTTGAGACTCAGACCTTTCTGACAATATCTGTTTTGACAAGATTAGAAAAGGTTTTGATCATAAATTATGAAATATAATGACGCCCAAAAGGGGTGGAGTTCAATTATAACGTTCAATTGTAAAACAGTTTTCACACGATGAATTCGGAGTTTATAAGCTTTCAAATGATACCTAATTTACGATAACTACTAAAATATGTGATATAATAAAAAAGCGATAAAAAAATAATATTATATTTTTTAGAGGATAATAAATATAAATATTATAATTTTTAGAGGATAATATTATATTATATTTTTTTTTTTTTTATTGAAAAATACTAGATTATATGTTTTATTATGAACGTTTAGCATAAAAACAGTAGTTTCAATGATTAAAAGTGAGTGCATTGACTTTTTGTGACAAAGGTCAAAACTCCTGTTATGATGCAGATTTTTTTTAAGGTGCACTCTTGTCATAAATTCATCAATTACTCTTCCTACATAACTTGTAACACAAAACAGGGGTAGAATATCTATTTAGAAGTCTTAGACCTTTCCAACGATATACTGTATAATTTGTCATAATTAGATTTAATAGAAATATTCCCCAATCCGTTTTCGGTTTGGACTTCTTCAGCAGATCGTCTTGACCATCTCTACATGCCTAAATGCATTGAGTTGCTGCCATGTGATTGGCTGATTAGATATTTCCATTAATAAGCAGTTGAACAGGTTTAGCTAATATCGTGGCTGGTGAGTGTATGTATACATAGATTTACACACAGGACTATTTTCTCATATTTAGTTAATCAAAGCCATAAATCGCAATTTATTTTGTCGAGGTGTGGCTGGTAACACTTCAGAATACTGTTCTGTCATTAATGAATAACTACACAGTAACAAATGAGAGTAATAATAAAGCAATATTAACGCTAGTAACTAACAAGGTACTCTTGGGCCATATTCATAAAACATCTTTAGGCTAAAAGTAGCTCCTAACTTGCTGATTTAGGAGAAACTCTTAATAATGGTTTTTTTCAGGAGTGCTAAATTTTAGCTCTAAGAGTATTTCACAAAAGCATTTTAGTGCTAAAACTAGCTCCTAAATCTGTGAAATGTTAGGAGTAGTCAAGAGAACTCCTAAGTCACTAAGACAAAATCACAAACAATCCTAATGGTTGTTTCTGGCAATCCGCCTCAGCAATCCTCTCAGACAATAGCGATAGAGTCTTTTCTTCATTAATGCAATACATATTTTGATTTCTAGATTTACATCTATGATAAAACGCCAAAAATAAATTTAATGAATAAATAAATAATGTCCGAGTACCCGAGGCAGTTATCCCAAGTTCGCACTTATAAAGGATTGAATAGAGTAAAGAAATATAAAAAGCTTATTTGGCGTGATGTCCAAGGGGATCGAAGGCTCAGTTCTCCCCGTATCCCCAGCCGAGAGTTGGTGGAGGGATGCAGAAACCTGTCGAGGTAACTAGGTGAGTCGGCTCTCGGCTGTGTATATATATATATATACATCCTCTCCAGCTGATTAGATAGACCGTTTGAACGAGCTCCTCCCGAACTTTGATTATAAAACATAAATTGTCGCTTGAATTCTGCAATTGATGCAGACATGTAAAAGGCTGACAATTAGCTGAACATATAGGCCTATTAGTTTAATTATTGGCACCTAGTTTACATTTTAAACCCTTTATTTGAATATGGCGACATGATACCTCGTTCTACAATATTTATATCACTGACAGAGACTCCTCCCTCATCAGCCAATGACCGTGGTCATAGTTGGTAAGCGTGTTGACATCATCGACAAGTTGGTCTCAGCAGCTTTGGCTCTTAACTTAGTTAAAACTCTTAACTAAGAACTTTTACTGCCATTTAGGATGGCATGTAAGATAGAATGTTTTGTGAATACGGCCCTTGATTAACAAAATAGTAAGTAATAGCACTTAGTTAAATGTGGCAGTTCACTATTAGCTAATCAGTAACTACTATTTTTTCACACATGCCTGAGGACTACTAAGAGCTACTATATCCAGGTTCATAATTAATGTGAATAATGCACATTTAATTCTAAAGTGAAGATCATGGTAACCCACTAGTAATGACTCAAGGATTACAAAATCATTCGGAAGCAATTATTTGGATCAGTATTCTGAAGTGAAAAGCATTATAACTCCATAGTGATGACTGAAGTCATTAAGGTTTTGGATAATAATTGCTACCGAAGGATTTGGTAACACTTGAGTCAATTTTAGTGTGTTACCATTATCTTCACTTTATAATACTGATCCAGATAATTAGTAGTTTCTTTAGAATGATTTGGTAACACTGCACCATCATATATATGTGATTTAATTACGCCATATATGCTCTCTCGATCTCTCCGCTCCGCCAACTATTTTCTACCCAAACAGCCTTCTTGCAGACTGAAAACGATGGGTGAAAGAGCTTTCTCTGTGGCAGCTCCCAGGTTGTGGAATGCACTTCCTTTAAAGGGTTAGTTCACCCAAAAATGAAAATTAAGTCATTAATTACTCACCCCCATGCTGTACCAACCCCGTAAGACCTTCGTTCGTCTTCGGAACACAAATGAAGATATTTTTGATTAAATTTGAGAGCTGTCTCACTACCACATTGGCTGCCTAAGGGACTGCCTCTTGACGGCCCAGAAAGTCAATGAAGAAAATGTTTAAATATCCCAAGTGACTACCGTGGCTCAACTATATGTTTATCAAGCGACGCGAAAACTTTTTGTGCGAAAAAACAAACAAAAATAACGAGTTTATTCGACTATTTCTTTTCTTCCTTGTAGGCCAAAAACGAGACTTCCTTAGATTTCCACGACGCATGCGCGAGAATTGCGATCTGAAGTGGTGTAAGCTGGTGTAAGCAGATCGTAAATCTCGCGCATGCGTCGTGGAAATCTATAAGGAAGTCTCGTTCTGGCCTACAAGGAAGAAAAGAAATAGTCGAATAAACTCGTTATTTTTGTTTGTTTTTTCGCACAAAAAGTATTCGCGTCGCTTGATAAACATATAGTTGAGCCACGGTAGTCACTTGGGATATTTAAACATTTTCTTTATTGACTTTCTGGGCCGTCAAGAGGCAGTCCTTTAGGAGCCAATGTGGTAGTTATACAGCTCTCAAATTTAATCAAAAATATCTTCATTTGTGTTCCGAAGACGAACGAAGGTCTTACGGGGTTGGTACAGCATGGGGGTGAGTAATTAATGACTTAATTTTCATTTTTGGGTGAACTAACCCTTTAACTGTTAGGAATCCTACAACATTAATGAGTTTTAAACAGTTAAAAACCCATCTTTTTTAAGAAGATGTTTGTGTCTTAATTGGTGACACTGTATGCATATTGTATTATATTGTATATGTATTTACTTTTGTACTGTACTTGTAGCGCTTTGTGTAAGAAAAGGACCATATAAATAAAATGCATTATTATTATTATTCTACCAATGGTACTAATTGGTAATACGTACTGTACTAGTGGGTTATCATGACCATAACATTACAATTCAGTATGCATTATGCATTATTCACATTAATTATGACACCTGTATATAGTAGTCCTCTGGGAGGTATGAAAAAATAGAAGTTATTAATCAGCTAATAGTGAAGGACCACCATGGACCTAGCACTATTATTTATGAATTCATTAATCGGAGTTTCTTGTTAGTTTGCATAGTTACTAGAGTGTTCATATTATGTTACTCATTTGTTCCTGTAAAGTTATTCCTTAATGATGGATATTAAGTGTTGCCGTGTGGCTTAGTGGCTTTTGAATGTGAACATTGATGTTTGGTGCTCGTGATTAAAAAATGACAGTAAAAATATATATATATATGTATTTTATTTTTGCTTAATTGTCATGCAGATAATGAAATGTGAATGTTCTTGAAAGGTTTCATGATTACTCTGATGTTGACTGATATGAACACAGTTGCTATAAGTGTGCAGTGGATTTGAGACTCATTTAGAATGATCTGCAATGAGTGTTGACAGAAAAAAGTTATTTTCTGGGTAAATCTCTAGTCTAATATTGACTCATTTTGCTGGAATTCCTGTTGATACTGACAAGATATGCCCTGCAGGGCTGGTGACTCATATATTTCTGACAGATTTAAAGTGAACTACCGTGCCTGCATGTGTGTATTACACAGAGTTGAGGTGTGTTTTTGGTGGATTTTGTTTATTTTTGCCATACAAAGAAGGGTTTGATCATGTTTTGATCACGCATAACACAGACACACATATATTCACAAATTAATTTTTTTTGATATGAATTACCTCGTGACAAAAAAGGTGGTGGAGAGTGACCAGTGAAATTCATTAATATTACATATTAGCCCAGCTCATAACAGGTTTTTAGCATGCACCGACTGCTTCACTCAACTTCCCTGCGTCATCTCATTCAATATTTTTCAGTCTTTACTGCTTGCCCCATGCCTCTCATCTGAAGAATCCATTTAGCGGGAGTGGGTTTGCTAGCTCGCTAGCCGTTGTTATTGATTAGCTTTTATGATTAGTCACCTGGTTCCCTGGAGTAGAAGCCGTCGACATGGAAAATGTCCATCAAAAATCCAGCGGAGATCTAAGGTGCTCAGACTGAGCTGTGTTTAAGTCCTGTATCGATTTAGATTTAGACTGATTTGAAAAAACGACCATTGTGCTCTTGAGTGTACTGTAAACTGCCCTGGATAAGATTTCTCTAAATGTCAGAGTACCAGAGGGTCCAGTTTGCAAATTCAAAAGCGCTCTAAGTCTAAGTGCTGAGTAATTCTAAGTGGAATGATATTTGTGGATGTGAAACCTTTGGAAATGCAAGACTGGCTAATTTTTATAAGTGAGTCGCACACTGGCCACCTCCACTTAGATTCACTGTCAACGGGTAGGCATATTTTAGCTTGTCACATTTTTTTTTTTCAGAAGAAGAAGAAATAATCTTGCAGATGTATTAGGATCCTAGCCACATAGAAGACCCAGTTCCATAAGTAGGCCTAAATGCAATTAGTGATGCTTTATAATGCAAATTGCTCATACTTAGTGTTTGGGATTTAGGGAAATGCTAGATATTGAACTTTGGCATATAAATCGAGACTTTATGCTGTTTGTTGAGAAGAGTTGTGTTTTTACTTTTCAAAGAAATGTTTTTTAAGCAAAAAAGAAGAAGAAAAAGGAAAGATTTAAGCCATAGCCAGGGATGAGAGTATCATTGCAAATGGGTATAGCTGACATGGAATACAAATTTTGTTGGCTCATCTTTCCCACATATCTAGAAGAAGCTATTTGCTCTCGTCCTTTCTTTGGTAAGAAGTGATGAAGTTTGTGGTTTACAATTGTAGTATTATCAGGCCAAGCATTTTCAAAGTAGTTCATTTTTTTTTTTGGAAGCCCAAACTGGGAATTGAGTTTCTGGGACCATTTTCAGAGGACCTTCTGGTCTTCATCTGTACCAGAGATATCTCATATCAGAGGCCCAGTACAGAAGTGAATTATTTAGGAACTTTCTGAAGTTTGAAGAGATTTGTGGATGGGGCCAGTACAGCAGAACATAATGTATGACCTGAAAAATGTCACTTTCTTTTGGGATATCAATATTTCTCTCAGTCCCTTAACTGTTTTCTTTCTTTTTCTCGGCTCTGGAATCTATTTTTCAAACACACTGAATTTATCAAAGTGAGGGGAAGAAGGTTGTTTTTTTTTCTTTCTTCTTTTTACATTTGAAATGCACTGAAAAGCATCGCTATTACTGTTGCTCATTTGAACAAACTAAGCCTAAGTAATAAACTTTTGTTTACCCTCAATCCACAAATTCTGGCATGATTGATACCTACTAGTAGTACACAAGTGATATGTGCTATTAATTTGGTAAATGATTGAAATCAGGATAAGCTTTTTTTAGGGCAATTAATTAATCTAGCCATAACTTTTCAATTGAAAAGTGTACGTGCTCCGGCTTGCAGTTGTTCTTCAATAATCTGATTTCAGAAGTCTTGTTCACTTACATATCTGTGGTGATTCTGTCCTTATATGACTGTAAAAGGTTGACGGCATGCTGTTCTGTGTTCAATCAGTGTTCAGAGGCAACATACGCCCGATTGAGCTTCCCTTTTCCGACTTCTGTTCCATCTCAAGTGTGATTTCTTCAATAAATATCTAAGTGTATGATTAATAGGAAGCTCTTTGAGGTGCTGGCTTCGACTGCTGTGCGGTATAAAACAAATTACACTCATTATCTCATCCATGTCTGTCATAATTCTCATTTTCAGGGTTCAAAATGGCTTATTTGCAAGCTGTTTGAAATAATAATGAGTTTATCTGCCTATATTGCAGTTATTTAAACTTGAGCGAGTCTATTTAGTTAGTGATATGATTCATCTAGCTTGTGTCTTTGTGTCTGTGTGTAATAATAATGAGAGTGTCAGCCTGGGTTTTCGTGCGGTGCATAAAGGTCTTTATGTAATGGTGTTCCTTACGGCTCCGCCGTTTCTGAATGTGTATCTTTTAACTGTCTGGTTTTACTCCAGTGAAAAGGTCAATTGGATTTAATTTGAAGTTGGCTGCTGCAATACGGCGCTGATGAAGAAACAGTGTGCATTTTGAAACATTCCTCCTCACGCAGTTTCAATGCTGACTCTGGATCAGAATCCAAAGCATAAATATTTGTTTCCCTGATTTCTTCACTTCATTACAGGTATCTTCATGAGCACCTGCAACGTGGATGTACGCTGGTTTCCGTTTGACATCCAGAAGTGTGAGCTTAAATTTGGCTCGTGGACGTTTGACGGATGGCTGCTGGACCTCCAGATGAATGAGGCTGATATCTCTGGCTACATGCCCAACGGAGAATGGGACCTTGTGGGTGAGTGAGTTCAGAAAACATCTCCTGTAAACTTCTCACGATCAAACAAACATAACGCCCACAGGCAGATGTGTGCTTTGTGTTGCTAACTGACAATGACTCAAGCAGTGAGAGGTCACTTTGGCAGCTGCATGTTTAAATGGTTAAAATGCATTCTGCATATTTTTAAAAAGTAAAAATATAGAGCTCACAGGACTAAAAATAAGGCTCAATCCCAATTCACCCCTTGGCCCTACCCCTCGGTTTTGCGCGTTCACATCTAGGGGTAGGGTGTCCCAATTCTTGTTGAGATCGAGGGGTAGGGCGAAGGGGTAGGGCTACATAGCCCTCGAAGCGGAGCAAACAAACGGACAGGCACACTCCAAACGGAGGGCTACGAGAAAGTTCACGGAATGCATCGCAAATCACCGGCGAGATGGCTTCGCAAACAGTTAAACATTTAAATTTAGCGCCAGATGACACCACCATGCACTTTATTTACCCTTATAATAACACTATAGTCATTTAAATTAAGAAATTGTATAATAAATTACCTTTCCGAATCAGAAAAGACATACATTTAGAGGAAGGAATGTTATAATCATCATGTTTCCTCAAAGTTAAGAGCAGCTGCGCTGATTTTCAGTCGTCATGGAGAAATCCTGTAAAAACTCTGTAACGGCAGAGCCATCGTTGACGACTGATGACGTATATCGGGTTCATGAAGGGTTGTTCCATTTCGAATGGGGAATATTTCAACCCCTTGGCCCTTGTAACTCTGTTTTAAGGGACAAGGGCTACACTCGAAAACAAGGGGTGAGGCCAAGGGGTGAATTGGGATTAAGCCTAACTCTTATCTCCGATATAGAACAGAAATCTTCTTTAGAATTGAAAAAGAAAATGTCCAGCCCTTCTTTTTAAATTCATGTACATTCATATTCATTCATAGTCCATCCAATGAGCCTGTTAGTATTCAAATTAATGTAATTAAATTGTGTGGATAAGAGGAAGCGGACTGGAAAAACATCTTGCACTGCACAATTCTGTCTCTCACTGACCCTCTTCTGATTTGCTTCATTGCCTAATTCATTATTTTGCTTCTGGTCACGTCTGTAATATCATGCCAGTCACACTCTTGAACTCTTTAACATCTTTAATTGTTCCTCGTACACATACTTGATGCTAAAAAGACTGAAACAATTTGCATTGTCTTAACATTACAACTCGTTTTGAATTAAAACCAGCTCATGGTAGTAATTAGGTCAGACTGAGTTATTTATATTTGATCATTAGCTTGTCCAAACGGGTAGGTCATTTGCAGCCATTGGATTACAGCCATTATAGCTGAGCTCAACCTGTGGCTTGTTGCAAAAACTGCTTAGACTAGTCTCTCTCAAGACTCATTATAACTTTTAAAAATGTAGATTGGTTTAGTTTGAATCCAAAAAGTAAGGCTGTTTGCCCTTGGCCAGACTAGTTCTTAAAGGATTAGTTCACTTTTAAAAAAACTTAAACTCTCCTGTTCGAACTCATTCGTCAAAATGAACGAATCTTTTTTTCAGCGAACAAAATGAACGAAATGACTCGAAAAAAGATTTGTTCATTTTGATGAACGAGTTCAAACAGAGTCACGAACGCGCGTCACAGAACAGAGCAAGGCTTATAAAACTTAAAGGAGCTGTGTGCAAGATTGTGGCCAAAACTGGTACTGCAATCACTTTCAAATTAGGGTGTATCCCCGCCTTCCCCCATGACTCGAGGTTGCCAGATATGCTGCAGGTTCCAGTATGAATGTAGGCTGCTACAAGAAGCTTCCAATGGCAAGTGAAGAGTCCAACACAGTGAGTTTTTTTTTTCTGTTAATTATTTATTTCGGACTTTGTAACAAAGTATTTCGGATTCATATCGAGTTTTTTGGGGGTTTCGCAACGTTAGAATTTTTTTATCCGATTCCGACACGTTAGTATCTGCAGCTGTGGTAACTAGAGAAGACCAAAACACAACTTGACAACATCAACATCAGTCGAGGGCTGCAACTTCACTTTTTAAATGACAATATCTTGGCTGGACTACTGTTGTCAGTGATATAAGTATTTGAAATGAACATGATTTCTTAATGTCTAATGACATATCAGGGAAAATATATGATTAATTGAAATAAATTTCTTGCATACAGCTCCTTTAAACTTTTTTTTTTATTTTTTAAATGAGCGATCGTTTCGCTAGATAAGGCCCTTGTTCATCGTCTGGTGTCGTTTAAAGCCCTTTGAATTACGGGGGGGGGGGGGGGGGGGGGGTAAATTATCAGCAAAAGTTTTTTTTTAAAAGTGAACTAATCCTTTAAGTCACAGTCTGAAAATAGTTGTTGTGTTTATGGAACCGGCCCCTGGTTAAAGCAGGCCGATACTGTACACTGTTCACCTTGGCTAAGCTGTTCGAGCCGGTTAACCATGCTTACTTTAAAGTCCCCGTGAACCGGAAGTTGCAAACGATTTTTCTCCAGTGCTGTGACGTTTTTCCAAGTGAAACGGAATATTGAACAGAGGGCAGGGTTTTACTCTAGCGCTCCTCCTCTCCATCTCTCGCTCATAGCAAATTAACGGTTTGAGGGGAGTGGTTAAGCGTTTCCCCACCCAAACTGTGAAACCTACGTCATCAGAAAAAGAAACCGTTCCAGACCGGAATTAACATTTCAGATTTTGATTAAAGATTACTAAGGTAAAACATTTTTTTAATATATATTCACTTGCACGGATTAATTGTTCACCACAAGACTAGTAATATGCGCTAACAAAGTAAATAGGTTCAATTTTGATTTCACGGGGACTTTAAACGAATAGTTCACCCAAAAATGAAACTTCTGTCATTTACTCACCATCATGTTGTTCCCCATCTGAGTTTATTTTCTCTTCTGTGGATCATACAAGATGCATTTTTGAAGAAAATCCTGGCTGGTTGTTTTCATGTAATGAAATGGACTACATAAATGACAAAAAGCGCCAATGGTTTTTCCGTGTCTCGTGACCAAACATAATAGATGTCAAATCTGATGCAGCATCTAATAGCTTTTCTTTTAGTTGTTTCCCACCTTAGTTTTGGTTCCTACATTCCTTTCACGTTCTTGAGAGCCTATAGAAGGCGGTATACAAAGGTTTTGAGGAGCTCTCTAATGATGTTCATACAAAAGCATGCTCAGTCTCAGAGAAGAACTTGCCTCTGGCTGGCATCTGTTGACTTAGGATGTTTTTTTCCCCCTAGATCAAAGGTTGAAGAGCAGCATCGGCCGCTCTTGAGGATAACAGCATCCCTTTGAACATGTTTTTTTTTTTTTTAATAAACCTTCATCATTATATATTCATTCTTCTCCTCACATGTTGTGTCTAATCAGGTGTGCCTGGCTCAAGAAGTGAGCTGTACTATGACTGCTGTAAGGAACCCTATCCAGATGTGACATTTGTGGTGACCATGCGTAGACGGACGCTCTACTACGCCTTGAACCTTCTCGTTCCCTGTGTCCTCCTTTCATCCATGACCTTGCTTATCTTCCTACTGCCTGCCGACTCCGGAGAGAAGATCTCACTAGGTATTATGAAAGAGAGATCATCTACATATTTTGTGAATAAACATAATTGATTTGGAAAGAAGAATGGTGTATAGGTTCGCATATCTGGCATATTTCAATGCAAGGTAAAAATTATTCCACAGTCTTGCCAAGGTCTAGTCACAGAACAGAGAGCTGGGACACGCAACAGAAAATGTGTGGGTGCTCATTTCAAAGATATCTCCAGATTGTGTCATGTCAAATGAACTCTTAGTTTACATAAAGGGCTTTTATCCATGTTTTTTTCCCTTAAGAGACCATTACCATCAAAAAGCATACAGTTCAAAGGAGAAAAATCTGTCATCAGAGTTGGGATGGAAGGAACTTTAGATATGACTGTCAGGAAATGTAAAGTGGCGTGAACTGAAGGGTAATCACAATATATTTTAGTGGAGAAGCAAAAGACAGAAGCTTAGAGCAACCAAAGAGAAAGGAAATGAGGCAGTTTCCTCACTTCAAGAATGTGCATCACTGCAAGCACGATGAAGGGAAGTGCTTTGCTGTACACTCATATGGCCAATTAATCTATTGATGTAATTAAAGCAGGGATGAGTCAATGTGTGTAAGAGAGAAAGAATGTATTGCACTTTCCAGGAACCAGGCCTGCAATATTGAAACATCTTTGATTGACAAAGTATCAGAACATTTAGGATGGATCTAAAAAGAATTTTATACATCATTTTTAAATATATGCTTTGTTTAAGAAGCATGGATTAAAAGGGATAGTCCACTCACACATGGAAATTGTGTCATCATTTACTCACCCTCATGTCCTCCCAAATCCGACTTTCTCCTGTGGAACATCGTTATATGGACAAAAAATACAATGGAAGTCAATGTGAACCGAAACCGCTTGGTTGCCAACATTATATATCATCTTTAATGTTCCACAGAAGGAAGAAAGAAAGTCCTTTACCTCAAATTGAAAGGGAGTGTAAGTGACACTAAAAACGCAATGTTAATTTAATGAATTGTATTTATTAATTTGCTTTTATACACCAGGGGCCGTATTCACAAAGAATTTTATCTTATCACTAGGAGTACTCCTAAATCGCACTAAAATATTTTAGCTAGGAGTTTTCTCTTAAAAGTTATTCACAACGCCTTTCAGACCTACTCTTAGTAAGGAAAAATGACAACTCCTACACTTAGAGTGAGTCTTCGTTGCTATGGATGACGTCAATGCACGAGCTTCCTCGCAATGATCAGATGACAGGACCATCATGCGGAACATAACACAGACGCAACAAATCATGGAATATGTCTGTGTCCTACACAAAATAGTAATAGCAATGTCATCAAAATGCATATAATGACATGTTTGTGCAGGTCCTAGTGAAGTGTAATTCTAAAAAGGCAGAGAGAGAGAGAGAGAGAAAAGTCGTGAATTAAATAAAATTAAATCAAGGTAGCCTAATATCCCAATGAAAACCGCCACTTGCCTATTAATGAAAAACGACACTTGCATTAACACTTGCTTGGTTAATTGACATCCTTTTAGCCTAAATTGACTACTTAAAACAAGGAACTGTTCCTATTGAAGTAATAGTTGAAAAAGAAAGCCCAACTGGACGTGGGATCAGTTACTGCTGCTGGCCCAGTTGGTGCTAGAAATGCTTGAACCATGCTACTGCATGGTTCAAGTGACTCAAATCCGATTTTTTTTCCTCTCATGTGGCACAGATCATATATGACCGGTGAACGTGTAAGCAGAAAAAAAACGCATGGATTACGGTTTTCTCAGATCGGATTCAGGCCTCATTCGATATGTGGTAATAAATCGGATATGAATCGGATACGTGCATTTGCGTGCGCCATGTAAGCAGACAAATCAGATATTCTCCAGTAAATGCGAGTCGTATGTCATTAAAAAGTGCGCGATTATAGGCGCGATGGAAGAAAGGATACACACAGTGGAGCAATGCGGAGGTTTCATGTCTTTTGAGTGTTTGGGGCGAAGAGTCCAGGCAAAAATGCAGGGATGTTACAGAAATAAATCCGTATTTGAAGGCATTTCACGAGATATGAGGTGTTCATGAGATATATCGTTTTAAGCGCTCATGGCTACAGTGCCTCCTCTTTTTTTCTCCGCCGTACGAGACCAATGTTTTGATGACTTTTGAAAGAAAAACACTGGATTTTTTATTCGCATCTGCATCCATTGAATTTCGTGCTGTTTTACTTAATTTCCCGGGTCAGAACGTCTGCATTTGGTAGTTTCAGCAGTGTATAGTGTAAAGCAAAAATCGGATATGGGTCACTTTTAAAAGATGATGTAAGCGGTTCGGATATAGTCAGAAAATCGGATTTGGGCATCAAGACCTGCAGGGTAAATGCAGCCTTAGTGAGTTAGGAGTCCTCTCGACTTCTTTTAAGCTGTCCCAGACTTGAAAAGTGAAAAAGACGCCCATTATTTTTAGGAGTTGCTCCTAAATTCGCCAGTTAGGAGCTACTTTTAGCCTTAAAATTCTTTGTGAATACGGCCCGAGGTCAATATACAACAAGTTAAATTTGAGTAACTTACATTTTTGAAACGATATTGGCAGTTATTTTTATTTCTGTTCTTGCTCTGCCAACGGAAATATTTCCAAACAATCAATGAATCTGTGTTTTTGAACAAATCGGATGAGTGAATGATTCAGTGACTCGCTAATCGTCACCACTAATGCACAAGCTGTCAGCGAGTGATACAAACACGTGAAAGCTCCAAATAATTGCAGTAAATTAATCAGCATTTTATGGAATTAATTTGTTTTACACTTTAATGGTCGCCCTGATTTAAAGCCAAGAGTGTTGTTGTTGTTGATGAATTCAGTTAGTCTCATTGGTGACAATTTTACTGAGGTTTCATTATGCCAAGATAGCACTTATAAATCTGAGCACAAACATATGTAAGAGGAGTAGGTTGAGTGAGAGAGCGGAAGCAGATTTAAACAGCAGATAGAGATGAATGGATTGCGTGTGTGGTGAGAGAGGAGGGAGAGATGGATAGCAGCTGGAGAGGGAGGGAGATGACTTGAACTGAACTAAAGAGCGATTGAGGAAGAGAAATGGCCTGATGTAATTCACTTTATGTATCACTCCATCAAACCCTGCACTGCCGTCTAATCAGATCCAATCAAATTCTGTCAAGATGAGTTACATCCAATAAGAAGCTGTGTTTGGGCATCTTATGAAGTGCCAATGTCGTACATAACTAGAGAGGCTGTATAACTATGCATTTATTTTAGTGGTCAGCTGATATTGATTTTTCAGTGGCAGATGCTGATATCTAGACTCCAGGGTTAGAGATGTATACAAATGTAAATATATACTATACTGCCATTAAAAGATTCGGAAACACTATTTTTATGTTGTAGACTCAGAAACTAGCTTAAATAAACATAATTTCATACAGTTTAATGAACTCAGTTAAAGAAAAGAAACTATAAATGTTTAAAAACTGCCAATTAATCAGCTTGGACCTAGATATCAGTGAACAATTAATGTCTTAGCAGTTGTGTAGAATATGCAATGACATGTATGTTTCATAAAGTCCATTTCTTTTTGTTTTATACATTCACAGGTATTACTGTGCTACTCTCATTAACAGTCTTCATGTTGTTGGTGGCAGAGATCATGCCAGCAACCTCAGACTCCATCCCGCTAATAGGTAAAGCATGCATGTCCATTTTTTTGCATATCTTAACATATTTTTAATGCACATATTTTTCCTCGGTATATTTTCGAATGTCTGCCCCACTTAGTTCGTTTGCAAATAAAAACACCGTGCTTTGAATATATTAGTCTTTATGCGAGTCTTTGAACTTAATGATATGTAAAATTTAGTGCACAAGGATGTATAGTTTGTGTGTGCTCAGATCCACAGACTGCACCACTGAATAATAAATTGATCACTACTCTGTATCATGGCCAAAAGCCCTGGTCTTGGCATCCGTATGCTTGGCTTCTCATAGTAATTTGCAACATGAATCGTAAAAGATTGTTAACTGGAAATGATGGGCAGGTCAGGAGAGAGAAGCAGGAGAAACATAAAAATGAAACAGACCTAGACATAGAGATGATCCTCCATGAAAAAAAAAAAAAGCAATTCACCCCACATTCTCTTTTCCCATCCTCTGGTTTATAGGCCCTCGGAAGCCGCAAAGATGTAATCTTCAGAAATGCGTTTGCTGGAAGAGTGTTCACCCACCGCGCTTTGTCTCTCCTGTCTGCTTCCCCCTCTCCTTTATGATTGAGTTTTTATGGTTCACTCATCTGTTCCTCATTCTCCCTTTCTTCCCTGCGCCACTGTTTTATAATCAATGCCCTTTTTTTGTTACATTTGCCCTGGTTTTTGCTAGTATGACTGGATGATAAAAGTTATAATAAATGAAAGGTTTATGCATACCATATTCCCTTCCTTTCTCTCTTTGTCTCTCTCTTAGGGCAGTATTTTGCCAGTATAATGATCATCGTTGGAATGTCAGTTATTGCGACTGTGGTCGTGCTCCAATATCACCATCATGACCCCAATGGAGGAAACATGCCAAAATGGGTATGTCTACACACACACACACACAACAAACACATACTGTACATACACTGTGCCTGAATTCACAAATGCTTTTTTTCCCTTTAAGCAAGTATCAATGTCTCCTATGTCAGTTGCACTGAAAGCAGTAATTTACTTATTCAATGATAATAGAGATAAAGCCAACAGAAGGGGACTAAATGAGTAATTGGATGCAGATGGATATAGATCTGCAATCTGTCTGCGCTGATGAATGACCGTATTTGATCGTATTCTGGAAGCCAATTAGCAGCTCAGCTGATGTGCCCCGGTCCCACTGATCGAACCCCATTCACTTACAAAGCCAAATGCCACAACAAGAGGAAGCTGACAGGTGTATTTACTCGATGAGACTAACATCAATTCTGCATCAAAACTAGATTTTACATGTTTCTGAAGGAAATGTGAGTCTCAAGTGCCTATAAGCACCTACCGTTCAAAAGTTTGGGGTCGGTATATTTTTTAAATGTTTTTTACATTTAATGTTTTTCAAAAAGTCTCTCATGTTCACCAAGGCTGCATTTATTTGATTAAAACAGCAATATAGTGAAATATTATTACAATATAAAAGTTTTATTTTAAAGGGGTGATGTAAAATAAATATCTGATGTTCCCAGAGTGTGTATGTGAAGTTTTATCTCAAAATACCCCACAAAGTTGTTAAAGTTGTTAAACCCTCACTTTTTGAGGGTTAGCAAAAACGCACCGTTTTTTGTCTGGCCCTTTAAATGCAAATGAGCTGCAGCTTCCGACACAGTGGGCGGAGCTTCAAGAGCTTGTGTGTGTTAGCAGCTCTGATTACCTCACGCAGACACAAGCTAAAATGTCAAAAACTGTTCTGCCTTTTATGTTTAAACTGGGTCAGACAAAGATGGAGAGGCTAAGAAGAAGTGACAACATGTAGGTTGCAACAGGACATCTCTGAATGGTTAGTTGATGAATTTATGTTGCTTATATGGAGTTAACGTAGACTCACTGTATTCCGGACACTTTGCACAGTACAACGTACTTTAAAGGGTAACTAAACACCAAAACAACTTTTTTTAGTTAATGATCTGTAAGAATGGAGCTTCATAAATGCTGTTCATTGATTCGAGTACATTTTTTGACAATTGAGTATAAAGTGTTTTGATTTTCAAATATATGGTGTAAAAACGTCTGAGTGCTGCCCTCTTCAGGTTAAACGGAAAGCTCCTGCAGTAGGGGTACTTGCTGACGTAGCGAACTCTCAGACGCACTCTGTCACACCCTTGGTGCGAGCTCACCACGCCCTTGGCAGCCCCTGGTATAAAAGCATCTGGTTCCGTCAAAACTACTGTAGCGAGTCAGGAGTTGGATTTATGAATATTGAAAACGATCAGGATACTATAGCATATAATAGCATCTAGTTAGCATAGCATTTATATAGTTATTTAGATTATTTTTGAAAACGACCAGGATAGAGTATTGTTGCATCTATTTAGCATAGCATTATATAGATAATTTAGATTATTTTGTGTAGCTAGTAGCATAGTACAGTTAGGATAGCTTCAAGTTAGCATAGATTTATCAGTGTTTAGTACAGTGATCAGGATAGTAACGGAGGTGGACATGGGCTTCTCCACACGCAGTGCCAAACACTGCTCCTCCTGCATGGACTCCTCCACCGCAGCGGCATCTTGATGTGAGTGATCATGGATATTTTAATCACAATTTATGGTTAGGATAAAGTTAATCCTCTAGGGTCGACAAACGAGCCGGTGCATTTTGCTGGATTTTTTCATATAGCGGCATAATATCAATAGCGTGCGCTATTGAGATCAACTCGACGACATAACTCATCAGATGCCGGTCGCGATGCGGGAGTTAAGACCGCAGTTTGAGCCAGCAGCTCGAATGGATTTGGCCCTGTGTATACATACAATTCACCCTCATCCACTTCAGGTGAAGGTGAAGGTGAGGGAGAAAAGTCCTCGACTTCAAATGGCCGCTCTGTTGCAAAGGCAGCTATTGAGTCACTCCAGACTAGTCTCGCTCTATTTTAGAGTCTGACAGCAGCTGTCACTCACGGCGGGTCTCAGGTGCACGCCCCCTAGCCCCGCTGGGGTCTGCCCATTTTTTCAGCATTTTTCAAATATTGCTAGTGGGTGGAGTCAGGCTCTGACCAGGGGTTTAGTTACCCTTTAAGATATCAATCCGCTGAAAGATAAACCTGATTGCTCGTCTGTCTCTGGGGACACGCCTTCCACATGTTTCAAAGTTTGTTTGACACATTTTAAGCTAATCATTTTAGAAAAACTTTGAAAAAACTGCCGGGAGACGCAGTGTCCGGACTACCATGAGGACTCACGGTGTTCCGGACAGCTGAAAATTACTACTCGCTGTGTTTCGGACAGTCATTTCTAATATAAAACGCATACATTTTAACAACTATAAGTTGGTAAAGTAATCATATTAATCTTCATAACTTTGTTGTATAAGCGGCTATACACTCTTTTAATCGACAATTGCTCATTTGAGCATTTATATTCTAAAGTTATATTTAATAATTTTAAATATTATTTTTTTAATCCCTTAAAAGTACAAATATTTGCAAATTGTAACTCATAATTATTTTATAAGACCATAATAATGTTTTTTTTCCGCAATTTTCTTCTGGGTGATCGTGTTTTAAGAGCCGTTTTCTATTGAGGTATATTATCCCTTCGTCCATTTGTCCTGCCGGAAAACCTTCCCCTCGTCATTTTCTGAACAGTCAATGGTATACGTTAGAAACTCGCGTTGATTTCTATGAAACGACTGGCTCTGGAAGCATAAGGTTGGTCGGAATCGAAAGAGGAGGAGGAAAAGATGACACGGATATGTATATATGCCGTGACCTGAAAGTGTTTATTTATAAAATTTGCGAAAAAATGTCAAGTGTCCGGAATACCGTGATGTCCAGAATACAGTGAGTCTACGTTAACTATCTTCAATTAGCATATTTTGTCAATTAGCATATGTTTGACTACAACAGCTCTTCCTCTTCTCAACATGGACTGCATGTTTCCGGGGGCGGGGTTTATGTAAATTGCAGGGTTAATGATGTCACTAACCCGGGAGGAAGTTCGTGTAGTCCCTAGGAGCCGTTTGCTGTAGTCCTTATAAACGATTTCTTTAAAAGCAAATATCTCCCTTTGCTTTGAACTTTGAGCGTTGTAACTTTGCAGATGTTGTTTATGCTCAAACGGCAACATTACACACTAACTCAAGTTAGAAAAGTGAAATCATAATCTGATTGCAAAGCTGATTTTTCAGCAGCTCCAGTCCCTCCTGCGTAACATGATGTTTCCGATATCATTATAATATGCAAATTTGATGCTTAAGAAACAATGTTTTACTGCTTAATATTTTTTGTGGACACCATTATACTTTTTTTCAGGATTACAGGATGAACGGAAAGTTCAAAAGAACAGTTTGCAACATCTTTATTGTCACTTTCATGGCTCGTTTCCACCAAATGCGGTACAGTACTGTACAAAAACACAGATTCATTGATTGTTTGGAAATATTTCCGTTGGCAGAGCAAGAACAGAAATAAAAATAACTGCCAATATCGTTTCAAAAATGTAAGTTACTCAAATTTAACTTGTTGTATATTGACCTCGGGCCGTATTCACAAAGAATTTTAAGGCTAAAAATAGCTCCTAACTGACGAATTTAGGAGCAACTTATTTTTTTTCACTTTTCAAGTCTGGGACAGCTTAAAAGAACTGTACTGTACAATACAAGAGGTGCCATTTTTTTTTAGCTGTGTTTTTCCTTGCAGCCTTTGCTCAAACAAAGCTTGTCTTCTTGTGACAAACAGCCACATGCCGCGAAGCGAGAACAAGATCTGCTGTATGTCCTCTATTGTTGTTTACTGTGCCGCTTTCTTCTTCACGCGAAAATGATGTCGCTACTTTCGGGCATACACCACGCCTATTAAGTAAGGGTACTGTTGCCATTTGAAACGCAAGCCGGATCAAGGTTTACCGTCCCGAATCATGCTGTACCACTCGGTGGAAACGAACCATTAAAAAAAAAAATTATACTGACCTCAAACTCTCCAAAAGTCTAGGGAATTTTTCCAGCAGCAGACAAAAATTACATGCCTCATTTCTTAGAAAAGTAATAGCACATTCTTTGCCACATGAGTTGAGAAGTAATACTGGAGATTAGAGGTTTATTTAAACCCTAACTCCAGGTATGAGCAATAATAATAGTGATGTGCTTTCCATAGCATAACTTCCCAGGATCCTCTCCTGGGATCAGCTTTTAACAATATTCACACCCAATACTTGTCATGTGTAGCTATTTAAAATATCCATGCTTATATAAAATGCTTATATAACAGCAATGGTTTAATCTTACAATGTAAAGAACTAAAAGAGATACAGTTCAGAAGAAGATGCTAATAAGGCTAAGGTGGATACTGATCGGGGAAAGATGTTTTTGCTACACTTGTCAAACCCTCAAGGGCTTCTAGACTTGTATTTATAGAAGAAAAAAAAAGAGAAACTCATTCTGTCTAGACTGGAGTGTGTTAGTAATACCTGTTCTTTCATTAATATATTCTGCAAGGTATTTAATACTGCACGAGTGGCACTAATTTTGTTGATGTTGCCAAACATGCATTGGGTGATCTTTTAATACACCAAAATATGTGTGAAGATGCCAAAGAAGGACCTATTTGCTTAAAGTGCAGTTTTTATGCAAATGATAGCAGTGCCAACCCCTGTAGTCGTACATTTTGCCATGCTTAATGCATCTCCTAGCCAGGACTTGGCAGTACAACTGAATAATTCCAGCTTGTCACCTCTTTATCTCCCTCTGTTTCATAGACCTTGCTGTCATATGTTGCTATTTTACAACAACTTTCTGTCCAAAACTTCTCTTCTCTTGACTCAGCAGACACTAAAAATTTGCATGGATTTGCTTTATTTTATGCGCAGACTGTGCTGTATCCTTTTGTTTAGACTGTACGTGTAGAGCATATGCAATATATAGTTAAAAATGGCTTGACGCACTGCTGTGAAATGCATGCTTTCTCATACATGCATAAAATTGCCAGCTTACAGTTTGCTGGAGGGGATTTTACTTTTAATATTCAAAGCTAATTTTGTTTACCGAGAAAAAAGGAAATGGGGGAAATCTGATTTGGTTTTAAAAGTTGGTACCATAGGGGAATAAGTAAGATTGGAGATTTATATAAAGATAATATTCTTTTAGCTTCAGGGAAAAAATGTGGTATCTCCCAATCTCATTTTTTAAAAATATCTCCAATTACAGTTGTATTAATTTAGCATTGATTAAATAATCAACTAACAACAATGAAACTAGTAGCACTAAGAAACCCATATGGTAGATGGCTTTTATTTTATTTATTATCAATTTTAACGCATTAAACTCTTAAAGGGATACTCCCCCAGAGTTAAACAGTTTGGTTTTACCGTTTTTGAATGCATTCAGCCGATTTTCTGATATTTAGAAGAATATCAGTAACCAGACAGTTTCTGGACTCATTGACTTCCATTGTAGGAAAAAAATATACTATGGAAGTCAATGAGACTAGAAACTGTCTGGTTACTGATATTCTTCTAAATAGGGATGCACCGATATGAAAATTTTGGCCGATACCGATAACCGATAATTCTTTATATTCGAAAGCCGATAACCGATATATCGGCTGATAAACTTAAATCCAAATTTTTATCTAATTTTGAGAGCCTGATTACAAAAACAAAAGTCTCACAATTAAATTCATGTCCCAAGCGCACAATTATAATGATGTTCTCATTATAGTGTTGTATAGCCGATATGACAGATTTGCGTTGCACATGTTGTCCCGAACCAGATTTTCATTTTTTGAAGAGATTTCAATCATATTTCAAGAAATTCAAAAACATAAACAGTTCTCAACAAGTGTCTCAGCTGAAGGGAATAATACATTATTTATCGGCTTTAATATATCGGCCAAATTTTCTTACCAGGCCGATAACAATGACATTAAAAATGAACATACTGTATATCGGCCGATACCGATATGCTGGCCGATATATCGTGCATCCCTACTTCTAAATATCAGAAAATCGGCTGAATGCATTCAAAAACGGTAAAACCAAAATGAGCCTATTTCCAAAAAAAGTGGAGTATCCCTTTAATTGCATGCGGTAATGCGTTCATTTTGATAGCGCTAATAATTATATAAGAAAATGTGTTGTATGTTTGTATTTGTACAAATCAATGTACAAATGTGTGTAAAATGTTTATACAACACCATTACCCATTCTCTTTTACACATTTCTTCATCTTCCTTCTCTTAGGTTCAGGTAGTTTTGCTCCAGTGGGTGGCCTGGTTTTTACGCATGAAGCGTCCAGGCGAGGGCGAAGACCCTGAGCGGCCTCCTTGTGCCCCCCACTTACGACGTTGCTCTTCAGGTTCCCAGAGCGGCAGCCTGCCAAACGCACCCGGTTCCGCCTCTGCAGATCTCCATCACCACCACACGTCCTCAACGCTCCACCCGCTCCATCCCCAGAGCCTCCTTCAAGCCGCTGCTGCCGCCGGGCACACCCACCATCTCCACAACCAGACCAACAGCGCCAACAACAACGGCAACCTGCTCTACATCGGATTCTCCAGTCTGGACGAAGCTTCGCCGCCATCCTTGCTCGTCGAGTCCGTGCAGAGAAACAGCATGTCAGGCGTCCCGCGATCTGCGGTGGTGTCGCCCCCAGCGGTAGGCTCCAGTCCGCCACCTCACCTGCCCTCGCAGTTCTGCAGCCCTCCACCGCCTCCCACGCCCAATCTGGAGGCCACGGGATGTCCGAGCACGGTGTCCGGCGGTGGCGGAGGCTGTTCTTGCTCGGGGACCAGTGGCGGAGGAGACCCACAGCTTCAGGCTATTTTAGAAGAGGTGCGCTTTGTTGCAGATAGGTTTCGCGGACAGGACGAGAACGACAGCGTGGCCGAACAGTGGAAGTTTGCTGCGGCTGTAATTGACCGACTTTGTCTGGTGGCGTTCAGCGTTTTCAACATCATCTGCACCATCTCCATTCTTATGTCGGCACCTAACTTTGTGGAGGCAGTTTCTAAGGACTTCATCTGATTGCTGTGTCGAAAGAGAGAACGTGCAATCGGGAAACTTGGGTTTGACCGTAATTGGGAAGTATTCTTCTCCTCAAAACAGTGACTGAGCTTTTTTTTCCTTCCAAGACTGTGATTGGAATAATGCAAGATCCCAAGGTCTGAATTGAGAATGCTTCTGATTGGCTAATGTCCTGGAGATTTAAGGCCCACTCAGACATCTCAGACTGAACTTAGTTGTTGGAACGCTAACGATCTTCACCGAAAAGGTGTTTTGTAAATGACAAAGGGGTTGGTTCGCTATATGGTAAAAAGTGTTCGACTATGGAATGAATGAAAAACGAAACATAAAAAAGTCAAAATACTGCTTAATGACCTTTCAACTGTGTCAGACGCCTCATAACCGGACATGAACCTCTGAGGAATGGCCAGTCGTGTGACTCAAACTTGTGTGACATTGTACATCTAACATCTATCACAGTACAAAACTTCAAAATATATTTTGGTAACGCTCATCCATGAGTAGGCGAGGAGAGAGGGAGGAAAAGAGCAGACAAGACAGAGAGAAATATTGATACTAGTGGCAGACGTGCAGTGAATGAGTGTATGAACCCAGATCAAAAATTCTCTTGTTTCAAGGACAGATGAGAGATTTGGGGAACTGCTGGAGGATTTGAGTGGTTCAGTTAATGGAGAGATACAGAAGAAGTGAGAGATGGAATACCCTCCTGACGTGGACAGAGATGTAGACCGATGGAGAGATTAGGGCCTCACAAGAAGATGAGGCATGAGCAGAACAAGGGTAATGAAAGACAAAATGAGACCGAGTGTATTAGAGAAAGAGACACAGTCAGCGCAAAACGAAAGAAGGATGGGCTGAAGAAGTGGATCTGACAAGTGGATAAGAAAATGAAAGAGTGATAGGGGAATTAGAGAGGGATGGACAGAAACAGACAGAGAAGGCGGTCGGTGGTAAGTGAGACTCAGCAACATTTACTGGCAAGAGAAAGTAAGGTTTCACTGTTGGAGAGAAATAGCACATCAAGCCCCAAAAAGCCAAACAGTGAGTGCATCCGTCACAAAACAGATAAGAGAAAAACACAATGCAGAAAGGAAGTGGGGGAGAGAGTGTGGGAAGAAAGAGTGATAATCCTCTGAGACATACCGGAGAAATGGCACAAAGACAGTGGAGACATGGGTAGAATCTTATACCTCCCTTCCTCTTTCCCATCGTCTCTGTGAAATGAGTTGACAGACGGTGTGAGGTGTTCTCAAACAGCAGAGATGATCTTCTGAATATCTAAGTGGGTGTAGAGCCACAACCATAGTAACTGTGCCCTGATTCTCCACTGTCCCTTAAAGATACAGTAAGCGATTTTTGAAAAACGCTGTTGAAAAGTGGATCGGCCTGAGCACCAAAACACACTTTTAGCCAATTAGCAATTAGCATACACACATAGGATGTGGGTGGACAGAGAGCACAGTATATAAGACAACGACTATAGAAAAAACATTATAGAGGAAAAGGCCACGGCAATATAACTTTAAAAAGAAAGGTTACATTCAGGCAAGAGGAAAGACATATTAATATTGGATAAGCTTTCCAGCGCCGGAGAGATCTAAGGTGGAAGGCCTGAAAATGGAAGAAGAGTTTGCTTTATTTCTTCTCGATACGTAAGTAATGTTGGTTTTGCTGTGTTTCACAGAAGTACACTGTAAAAATATATTGTTGGTTTAACTTAAAAATGTAAGCTGGTTGATTGAACTGGAAAAAGTGAGTTAATACAATGAAGGAGATTGATTTAATAATCAGAAACTCAAAATAATAAGTTATCTGAACTAAATAAATTATTTAATTTGATTTGACAAAAGAAAAAAAATTTGTGATAATCTTGAAAATATTTTTTTTGGTTGAATATACTCATGTCATCTTCGCTGGTTTGTTTATTTGCATTAATATTATTATTATTATTTGCCTGGAACTTCCTCCACCGTCCGTTTCAAGCATCGGCTTCCAAAGTGTGTCTGAAAAGTGATATAACATACTCCTAATATCTTTTGGTTTCCCTTTTAGTGATCGCTATAACCTGTTCATGAAAATGTTGTTTTTTGGGATGGAAGGGTTGACTTGGGATGGAGGGAAGAGCTAAATTACAATTAGACATTCGAGCTGAATTTTCATTACACAAAGCGTGTACGTGAATGTGGGGGTGGAGGCATCAAGTAAGGGGTGTGATCATTTTGGGTAGGGGCGTGTTTGTTTTGCTGATTTCAGATATCAATAGCTTTTAATTACCAGAAATCACTTGCTGCACCTTTAAAATAAGTGTGTGAGGTAAATCTATTCTTGCTTGTTGCTGCTTACACATACAGTGTCCTACAAATGTTTCGAAATGTCTTGGGTAAAATGGGGGTTTGCACAATATTAGCGTAAATCTAGGTATAGGTATGTTAGGTATGTTTACAAGCTCTAATTTTTGGACTGAATCTTCATATCTGATGACATACCTGATTTCCAAAGTTCTTCATTAATAATTGACAGTGACTACATTTACATACAGCCAATTTTCGGGTTATGGCCGGGTTAAGGTCACTATTCGGGCTTCTGAAACATTACAGAATAACCCGTTTACATGCGTGAGCAGAGAGAGTTTCTCCTGTATACATGGAACTGCAATATCACAATGTAAACGGCGATGCGCGGTTAGCGCCTAGACGTACGGTCAACCTTACGATTCTTCTTCCTGTATCCAAAGACAACAACAGCAGCAGCAGCACGCGGATAATGAATAGTTCGGGGCAGATAGCGATCGCCTTTGTTTGCGTTTTGATGCTGGTAACGTTACTGAGCTCGCTCCAAAAGTATGCTGTGCTGTGTCTCGCCTGTGCTGTGATGCCCCTAAAAAACTGATCGGCTGTTTTAACTGTGAGGTAAGATGTGAGTACGTTCACACTGTCAATCCAAATCCGATTTTTGTGCATATCCGATAGAAATCCGATCAGATAGTGTGAACGGCAAAAAATCACATGAAATGTGATTTTTACAAGTCAGTTTCAAGCTACAGGCATACATATATGGTTTGAATCATATCATATTGAATATATGGTCCTATTCAAATCACATTTCTGGAAATCCGTTTCAGTCTGACCGCTCTGAGAGGATTTTGCGTGGTTTATGTGACTTTCCAACGCATTCTCTACTACGCACATGGCACCCCTTATCGTTAATATAACACGCGCTGTGATGGTTAGGTTTAGGTGTGGGGTAGGGTAGGGTAGTCTCATATTACGCTAAAGGATTTATGACGCCTTGGGTTCGCGTGAATATTAACGATAAAGGGTGCCATGTGCGTAGTATAGCGCCGTTTTGTCATATAGCGTTCTATGTGACGCTAAAGGATGAGCCACGTAAAATGTAAACGTCAAACATTAAAGAAAATATGCTGAAAGTCGCTGCTGAAACAATGCTGTGTTGAAGCAAAGTGCTTGACAAGCAGAAAATGACAATATAACGGATAAATATTTTGAAACCGGCGGAGCTACAGCACGAAATAAAGCCACGCATACCAACCCCCTACGATTCTGTCGCTGCCTCATAAGACACAGTAGTCCAGCGCTACAGCTACACATCAGATTGTAAAATTTAACACAAAAAAAAGACTATCTCTATTGCAAACCCCTCCATGTTGCGCATGTTGTTGTTTGCCGTACCTACTAACGCAACGTCATTGCCATAGACACCAATGCAGATATTCCGCAAAACGAAAGAGCTGCATGGAAACACAAATTGGAAACAGTTGCGATACACAGTGTGGACATCAATCATTTTAGATCAGATTCTAATAGGATACACAAATAATCGAATTTGGACTGACAGTGTGAACATACTTTGATTCCTCCAGTACATTTGAAAGCAGTCTAAGATGCAGTACGTGTTTAGGGAAACCGTTTTTTTGCAATTGTGTTTGGTGATGCTGGTGGTGTAGAAATGACATTCCGCGCCAAGTTGTAAATAAAGCGTCTATAGTTGAGTTTGATAGAAAAATGGCTATTTGAGACTTGTTAAGTGTTACTTATTCGGCCAGGAAATTTACAGAAAAATAGAAAAAGAGTTGCAGATAAACAATTCACAGTGAAGGTGAAGTAATGACTGAAGTATATTGTCGTTTTTGCAGTGAACGGACTATACTGTTCCAAATCTGCCTCTGGGGCCCGTACATCTTTCAGGTACATTTTCCTGCTAAACATTTCTGGTGACTACACATATCTGGTCCTCACAAACACTTCTGTTTCTCATTGCAAGTACTACTAAAGTTTATTGCTAAAGTCATTCTAGCAATTAGTGGTTGTTATGGAATTAATTAAAATTCATTCAAAAAACAAGCTGCCAAAAGATTGCTGCTGTTCGCTGTGCTCATGAAATGCCAGCCATCTCGTCTTAATGGGGGACCAAGCAAATTACTTTCAAATCTCTCTTTCTCTCTCTCTCTCTCTCAGATGCAGACACAAATCATTTCCCATCTTTGAATAAAGTATTCTTTAATAATATGCAGTCTGTGCTTCGTCATTTAATGGCTGGCTGTTACTTACATTAGGAATAAGTGTGGGAAACGTGACAGCACTGATTAAGAATGAGAGACGAGTAGGGCTGTGCATGTACAGTCATTTTAAAGGGGTCCTATTATATTTATTTTTTTGTTACTTTTCCAACTTTCCTCAAATTTCTGTGTAATGTTACTGTTTGAGGAGCATGAACATGTCTACAAAGTTACAAAGCACAAAGTCCTTATGAACTCCTTTAAACACCGTCTTCAGTTCTTCTGGGAATATACACGTCACAATATTCCTAATTTAAATAATTCTCGCCCAAGAGTGGCGAGGCCTGGTTGAATTGCGTTAGCAGTAGCGATGGATGGGTATCCATTTTAGAACCGGTAGTATATGTCCAAGAACCCTGTGATTCGATAAGAAACGCGCATTTCGATTCCGCTTATCCTGTGTTTCTGTGTGTGCATTTTAATGTGATTTTAAACCACTCAAGTGCAAAAGACTCATGCGCTGTTATCTGCTGCACACACATCCAAAGAAAAAGGGATTTGAATATGATTTTAAATAATTTAAGGCGCAAGAAGATTTGTTTTCTGTGTGTAAAAGTACATTGGGTCTGTGCAGCTCTTAAAGTGACAGTAGCCTAATATTCCTGCTGCCGTCTCCATAATAACGTTAATCAAACAACAAAAGACAAAGAAAAAATTCAGGCATTGTTCTTGACCGAATAACCTTTGTAACTATATTTGTAATGTTTTTTGTTTTTTTTTTTCATAAAGTGAAGTGTTATTTTACATTTGATTACAGTTTCTGTACCTGAATACCTGAAAATCTTTTAACACTGTTAAATTTCAATTTGTTCAGTTGTATTCATTTGAGCGATTGCTCATTTTTGTTATTTTTTATTTTTAATGTTTACTTGTCTTATATAATGCTTGAAATTTATATTTGTTAGGCTAGTTGTTTTTGCGATGGCATTTTTAAGTGTGCGATGGTATTTTTTAAGTGTAAGTGTTCTTTAGCGTTTTGATTTTTGTTCATGGTATTCAGCCACAATGAAATGTTCTGCAATAAGACTTAGAATAAATTTGAATGATATCTACGGGTTTTTTTTTTACCTTATTGAAATCAAAATTAGGAATCGATAAGAATCTGAATCGATGAGCGGAATGGAAATTTTTCAAGTTTTAACAATACCCAACCCTAGTATGTTGTTGCCATGTCCAAGAAACACTGTTTTCTCCACCTCTGTACAATTTGTGCTTGCAAAGGTCGTTCGGCTTGATCAGTTTGTTCTTGACTGTCGGACTCGGGCTCAAACTGATATGGCAAAACTGATTCCATTGTTAGCATAGTTACAGTAGGGTTTACAGTGCCTCGGGAAGCTGATACTCACCAATTATGGCAAGCGCATTACAGTTCCCATACACTTTAAGCGGAAAACCAATCGGTCTAAAGGTCGGCTGACCAAAACGTATTCTAGTAGACCCCATAAACAAAATTCTGAACCTGTAAATGTGCATAATAATATGATCATTTGATGTATTTTTGTGTTCATATTTCCTACAATTTGATTACAGGTTCTCTAAGCGATCATGGGTGACGTCACTTCTTGTTGACGATCTCATCTCCTCCCCCTCCCTTCTGTGCTTCCTGAAACAGTTGTGAACGTGCATTTCTTAAAGGGAAAGTAGCTCACGTGCTAACGCTACTGCTGTAATGATGGCTCAACCAACTCCTTCATGCTCTGTGTGAGTAAATTGAATATGTTTTGTTCTTTAAAAATTTTAAGTCTTAATAAGGACAGATATGGGAACCACTGGGTTAGCAAGTGATTTGTGTGAGCATAAAGGAAAGTCTAAGTAGTCACTACAAACAAAGTAGAGTTTTATTGATACTTCAGTCAATGTGTAATGTCACCAAGTTAGCTAAGTGCTTTTATAAATTGCAGGACAGAATACAGAAAACGAGAAGGTACTTTCCTGTTATCCGGACCC